TCTGGGAATACTGATGCTAATGACTCACACTTTGTCTCTCAGTGGCAACTGCATTGTCCAGGGTCACTCCGCTTTCAGGAAGTGGCTGATGCTGGGAGACAAGTGCCCACCCTCTTGCCTCAATCTGGGACACATTGGCTTTGGAGCTTCTTAAGGGTGAGGGGAGCCTGGGTGGCTCAGTCAGTTGAGCCTCCGACTCTTGGTGTGGCCAGAGTCATGATCTCAGGGTCATGAGATCTAGCCCGGCATGGGGCTCTGAGCTCAGCAAGGAGTCTGTCCCGGATTCTGTCCCTCCCCCACTGCCCCTCCCCCGTCTCACACGTGCGCGAGTGCGTGCTCTCACGCACTCTTTCTTTCTCTCTCTTTCAAATAAAGAAATAAAATCTTTAAAATAAAAAAAAAGTATTGGCTGAGGCCTCAGTCACAATTGCATTGTGGGTCAGCTTCCTCACTCTGCTGTCCTCACTTCCTCTTGGGTGTATTCCCGAGTGCATTCTCAATAAATCTTCTGCCCGAAACTCTCCGTCACGGGGCACCCCAGCTAACCAACTATCTCTTCACCGGTCCCTCGGAGGCCAGCTTTAAGATGTGTGATCCGAACAGCACCTGAAAAAGATGACTTGCTCAGTTGTTAGAAGGAACACGTTTTTGTCAGGTGTAGCTCTCTGACGTTCATTTCCCCTTCTGGAAGCTCTGGCCTTCCTAAGGAGGCCTGGGGAGGACTAATGGGACCACCAGTGACAAAGCTAGTGACGCTAGCAATTTGCACCTGAAATAACTTGAGAGATAGATCGCCAAGGAATTCCAGATACCACAAACATGTGGCATGCTCAGCAGAGTTGCTGGAAGCGGATGGGTGTGAGATTAGTAGAGATACTGAGGGAAAGTTGGAAAAGCGACAAAGAAGAGGAGGCAGAGAACGTTCTCTAGAGATGAAACATTTTTGTTTTATTTCCTGGATTAGTTACTTTTAATGGTTAAAAAAAATCCACATCTGTTAATTTACTGCAAGAGCCTTTGTAATTTGAGAGCTAATGGCCTTCCACGGGAGGGGAGGATGGCTATGGATTTGTGCAGAGTTAAATCTCATGATGTGAACATGCTACGGGGAGGCCCCACCTGTGTGTACAATGTACTTAAAGGATTAGAGCAAACTTTGAAATTATGGTATGTTTTACCTACAGTAAGCACCTTACTCTTTAAGCTTCTATTTCCTTGAAGGATTGGGAGGGGGGGCATCAATTCTCTCAAGTAATCAGGTGCATGAGACATTCTGCTTGTGGGATTTAATGAAGGTTTAAGTGCAGGCAGATGAAGGATGTGTTATTTATATATTTTATTTTTTAAAGATTTTATTTATTTTAGAGAGAGAGTGTGTGTGAGCATGAGCCAGGGGGAGAGGCAGAAGGGGAGAGAAAGGGAGAAGCAGACTCTCTGCTGAGCAGGGAGCCCAATTCGGGGCCTGATCCCAGGCCCCCAGGGTTAATGACCTGAGCTGAAGGCAGACACTTAACCAACTGAGCCACTCAGGCACCCCTATATATTTTATTTTATTTTTGATTTTTATTTTTTTGAATTTATCTTTTTGACAGAGAGAGCATGAGCACAAGCAGTGGGAGCGGGAGAGGGAGAAGCAGGCTCCCCACTGAGCAAGGAGCCTGATGTGGGACTCAATCCTAGGACCCCAGGATCATGACTTGAGCTGAAGGCAGATGCTTAACCGACTGAGCCACCCAGACATCCCTATGTTTTATTTTAAACCTATTTGCAATACTTGGTGAATCAAGTGAATTCAAAGATGTTGCTTCCAAGAGGTCTATCCGCCCTAAATGAAGGTGGCATTTCCAGGGAGATACGTGCATCAGAAAGGCAGGGGAGGGTTGTAGTGGCAGGGGCTGATGGGAGGTGAAACGGAAATTTTATTTTATTTCTAAAAATTTTTTTAAAGATTTGAAAGGGTGAGAGCGCTAATAAGTGCGGGGTGGGGCAGAGGGAGAGAATCTTCAAGCAGACTCCCCGCTGAGCACAGAATCAGACTCAGCTGATCCCAGGATCCTGAGATCATGACCTGAGCTGAAAACCAAGAGTCAGTTGCTTAACTGACTGAGCCACCCAGGTGCCCCTGCAAGGGGAATTTTAGAAGAAGTATTGCTGTGCTCTCCATGTTCCCTTCAGGGACTTCCAGAAATATATGGAAATACCCGATGTTCTCTATTTAACAAAAGGGCTGGAGCTGGAGCAGATGATTTTTAAACCGAAGGCAGAAATTTTCTCCCCTCCACAGATTTACCAGGAATGGGAGTTGGGGGGGGGTAGTGCATTTATAAAAGAATGACCATCATTTGCCACTGGCTAAGCTACTGCTTTTGACTATTTGGTCTCCTTAGATTTGTCAGGCAGGCTGAGTGAGGGAGAACACAGTAATCAGAAATAGGTAAGCTCACAAGCATGCAGCGTTTAAGAAACAAAAACCCATACGCACATACGTCTAATAAAGTCACAGTATTTTATTTTAAAAACACTCACATATTGCCGAAAATACTTAGAAAAATAAAGTTTGGTTGGGGTACTTTACTCAACTTCAAGTCACAGGCTTTCATGTTACAGACTGGAGCAGAGTTTGTTATGCAGGTGGAGAACCCAAACTGACTTATGGAAGGGCAACAGGCTGTCTGAGGTGGTCAGGGGCACCCTCTAGTTGACCCATCAGATACCCAGACAGAGATGGGGGAGTAACTAGCTCCAATGGAGGAAGAGCAAGATAGATTCATAGACCAAATAATTTTAAACAAAGACTTTTTTTTTTTTGCAACACAATACACATCATGGTAAAATGTTCTAATACTTGGAGAACAGCCGGTGGAAAGAGAGTGAGAGAGAAAGGGTACCAAGCAGGGAGTGGGCACTGGATGCTTCTCTTCAAAGCCTTGTGAGCAGAAGCAAGCAATCTGGGCCAGCCTGCTGTCTGCGCCCCTGGTGCTTGTCAGCAGCCGAGAGTTTAACAGTATTTCAATGTGGAGCCCAAACGGGAGAAAAGGGGGTGAAATGGGCCAAGTTTCTATCAACTCAGGCAGTTTTGCCACCAACAGTAAATCGCCCCCTTTTAATAGGAGGAAATTGAATGGTTTCTCACTAAACACAATTAAGTAGTGGGATCAAGAGATTTCCAGGCCTCGGCGTACCTCATTATAACTGGCTTATTCTACTCTGACGTCTCCCCTCCACTAGGTCACCTGAGACAATCGGGTAGAAACAGAAGCGTGGCCAGGTTTCTCCTTGGCCCTCTTCCCATTCTCGCTGAAGTCACTAGGTGACTCGTTTGGGGGACCCATTTTTTATAGGCATTAAATACAGCTCCCGAAGTATTTAGACAGTTTCACTGTTCAGTGACGGACGCCACAGTAATAATGTGTTTTGAAAACGGTTTCCTTTTCCTTAGCCCCTGCTGGCAAAGTGTTATCGGCCCCCTCAGCTTGCAGCCAGGGACCCAGCTCCCTGAAGCCCTGGCTGCCTCTTCTCCGTGTCCTGCCCATGAACTCTGCATTGCCACTGGACAGCTCAATGGCTCCCAACCCTTCATTTTGCCCTGTGTTCTCCTTGTGTGTGAAAGCCCGATACCTCTTAACTCCTCTGCCTGCAGGGATCCCAGAGGGTTGTCAGACTTTGAACTGTAACAACAGAGCCACCAGAAAGTCTTATAAAAGCAGCAGTGACCTTTTCAAGCTGTCAAGTCTTTAAATAGGATTTGGGATTTAATGTATGTTTTTAAAGAAAAAAATGTAAGAATTGCTAGTTTAAAAAAAAAATGCACGTCTTTTAGCCAATTCAGGATCTTCCCCCTACCCTACTTTCTTTTTTTTTTTTTTTTAACCCAGGAGAGATAAAGCTTTGGGGGGGGAAAAAAAAAAGACCAGATCTCAGGTTAAATAAGGAAGGTGTATGTTAGGTGCAACCAGACTAAAAGTCTGGGCTGCAAAGAAGCCCTTTGGTGGGTGATCGTTGTGGAAAAGGAACAATAAAAGGAGGGAAGGCAGGAGTTTATAGGAGAGAAGTATGTGATCTGTCATGGTGTAGTATGAATTACACCCTGAAAACTCCAGCAAACTGCTCATTCTAATTCTCAGGCCCAGGGCAAAAAGGTCCAGAGGAGGCTTTTTAAAAATCTTTATTAACAAAAAAATGTAACCCCCCCCCCCCCCCCGCAACTGCCCAGCCGCAGTGCAGAGGCTCCTCCCCAGGCCGTTGTCCGACATGTGGAGAGTCTTCTGTCCCGGGCCCACCCCTTGCAGTACATTTCTGTTTATACAGCTTGTACTAAAACCACAGTGAGTGCTTCGAGTTCTGCTTGGGCCACCCTGGAAATACTTAGGTCGGTGTGTTATTTAAAAAGGAAGAAGCAGCAGCTTATATTTTCACCTCCTTGTAGCGATCTTCAAATCCCATGCAGGTCCGTGCTGAGCATGACAGGCTTCTCTTTGAGCCTCTGTCTTCCTCTCTCTTATGGGGACAGAGAGGAACCTTGGTCATATTCCAAGGTCAATGAGAGGTTTTGGAACTTAAGTGTAATTCGGGAGGTGACACCCTCGACTTGGTCATCCTTTTCCCCTTCAGGTTCGCGGTTTCAGGGTTGATGTTCAGTTACACAAGAGGATGGAGTGGAAATGGCATCCTCAGGAGTGATGGGGACAGCTCATATGAAATCACAGGAAGTGCTAGAAACAGCACTTGACTTTATCCCTCCCCACTTGGCGGAGGTCTCAAAGAGCAAAAAACATCCCACATCATGTGTTGGGGGATCTATCTGGATATTATTCACTGTCCCAGATCTTTCATTGGCTCACCAGTGAAGAATCTGGGATGTCGATGCAAACCTGCAACAGGGTCAGTACGCACGTCTCTTGCTCCCCAGTCCTCCCTGAGCCTGGCCCCTTTTGCCCTCCAGAGACGCAAACCCAGGAAAGACAATATTTGACCACTCATGATTGTCATCTGAGCTGGCACTACCAGAAAGGTGGGTTCCAGCCTCCCAAGCAGTACAGGTAGGGGTAGTAAGGGTAGCTGTTATGCATGGAGAGGAGAGAGGCCTGGGACAAGCCCTCCTCTTTCAAAGCCGGCAGGGAGGAGTGCTTCTCCAGGTCTCCCAGGTCCGAGGTGAGCTGCTTTCGCTTGGTCTTATAGCGTCTGTTCTGGAACCATATTTTCACTTGGGTCTCAGTGAGCTTGAGGTTCTTGGCCAGGTGAGCCCTTTCAGGGGCTGACAGATACTTCTGGTGGCTGAACTTCCTCTCTAACTCAATGACCTGAGTGTGGGAGAAGGCAGCACGGGAGCGCTTCTGCGGCTGTTTCGAGGTTTGCGGAAGGCTTGGTAAGGAGCCTGCACTGTTTTCACAGTCCATCAGATAAGTCTCAAAGTGTCTATCTGGAAAGGAGAAGGGAGAAGGACGGATGGGAAGGAAAAGGTTACATGTTAGAGGGAAGAGAACAGAATTCAATCCACCCTTATCTCTTCGGTGAGTGAACAAACAGCCCACTGTCATCTTGGATACATTTCACTTTTTTCACATGACTAAGGAACTCTCCTGAGTGGGGAGTGAGTGAATATGTATATTATGTATTAATTTTCTAACAGTCATCAAGAACCTAACGTTAGAAGCCGTTAGTGGTAGAGCTTCCTGCCATACCGTCCAGGAGAATTAACTAGGGTCCTGGATGTGTGCGTTGAGAAGAGGTGGGAGAAGCGAGGCAGGGAAGACACAGGAATCAGACAGCTGGTAACACAGGACGCGAAGGCATCAGCTTAACTTTTGGGTGGCCGGAGAGGGTTTGTGTTGTAGGAGAGGCGGCGCAGGCTGAGGGCAAGTTCATTCTCTGGCTTCAGTCCCCTTTTTCTAAACAAGCCGTTAGGATACCTCATCCGCAGTGACAGGAAAGGTAAGAAGTCTATTCTAAATGTTCTAACGGTGTTATATTTCCTGAAGGCCGGAGGGACCTTCCAAATGTAGTTTTACTGCCTTTGGAGCTGGGAAGCCAAGGGAGTCTTCGCTTGTCAAACCCTGATCAGTTAATTGTTATATGTAACTAACTGCCAAGAGGTAGCGCGGGGCGGGCGCGGATCCAGGGTCCCGCGGTGGCTGGGAGCGCGTGGCGGGGTCTTGGGGCGCTGGGGCTGGGGGCGCCGCGTGCGCGCTCGCTCGGGAGCCCCGGGCATCAGAGCCCGCGAAGCAGAGAACACCGTGCCCGGCGAGTCCAGCCCAGGGACAAATCCTGCGCCACCCTGACGGTGGGGCTCAGGGTTAGTTTCCGAGGCGCGCCCGCGGCGGGAGGCGGTGAGGTCCCTTGGCCTGTCGCCGCGGGGCCCCGCATCCCTGCAGCCGGAGCTCCGGGAGGCCTGCGTTGGACCCGCCCTCGCGCCGGTGCAGCCCGCAGGCCGGCCCGCCCCTCCTTCGGGACCGCACCCTGGCCCAGCCCGGCCGCCCCAGCCTCGCGGACTCACCTGGCTCGATCTCCGCCGGCGCGTCGGCCTCCTGCCCGGTGCCGGGCCGGGCGCTCCACTCGTCCTCGGGCGCCCCAGCGCCGCCTCTTCCTCGCTCGGGCTCCGGCTCTTGGTCTCGCCGCGGGTCCGGCTGGCGCGGGGGCTGCGGGCTGCTCGTGTGGCCGCCGCGCCTCTCCGCGCCGTCCCGCAGAATGTCCTGGATGAGGAAGGAGGTGAGCGGCTTGGACTGGGTGGCCGCCCCCGCCTCCCTGGGCCGCGGCTCGGGAGCCCTAAGCATCCCGGCGGCTCGGCTGCAGCCCGGCGGCGTCAGCTGCGTCCTCCGCGTCCGCGCCACTTTCACTTTCCGCCGCCCCGGCGCACTTATAGCCCTGGGGGAAGCGCGCCGCGCCGCCTTCCCATTGGCCGCCGGACCCGGGGCGCGGCGCGGATTGGCCGCCCGGCACTCCAGGTGAGGGGGGCGGAAAAGGGGAGTCCCTCGCACGGTCTCCGTCACCTCTTCCCTAGAGGAGCCCACCCTAAATTCCAGCTCCGACCCACAACGGAAGTTTAGACCCAGTGGGGAATAGTGATGCCGACGAGAGATACTCCGTTTCGCTCTCATAGATTGTTAAAGCGCCTTTACTCACAAAGGGTGGGTAAATGACTACGATCCCAGTTTACAGATGTCCGAGGGCCCCGTGTCAAGGAGAGACTGGTAGTAGAGCTGGATCTACCAAGGCTTTCAAAGACACAGGACAACAGTCTCGACTCTGTGCTGGATGTCATTGGGGCCATTGATAAAAGTGGAATAAGAACGATGGATTAAAGTATTGAATCAGTGTTAAATTTACTGAAGTTAACAGTACTGTGATGGTATAAAAGAATATTCTTAGGAAATAAACATTAAAGTACTTAGGGGCAGAGGCTCATGATGGATGAAACTTAACCCTCACATGATTCCGAAAGAATGATACAGATTGAGAGATAGATCCCATGTGATAAAATGAACTGGTTAAATATTAACAGCTGGTGAATCTGATATGCTGGTGTTCTTTTGAACTATTTTTATATATATGCAACTTTTCTGTACCTCCAGGTCTAAGGCAACTTGCATTCCACTGGAAACTTCAAAAGGATGTCATGTTGTGTGTCTCGGGAGGAGAGAGGTGGGGTAGGTTATTGTGGATAAAGCAACCACCAAAGGGAACCGCCGTGTACAATGGGAAGGTCTTTGGCAAAGGTGATTTTCTTCTCTCATTTTTTCATTTCAAAAAATATTTTAGGGACCCCTGGGTGGCTCAGTCAGTTAAGCGCCTGCCTTTGGCTCAGGTCGTGACCTCGGGGTCCTGGGATAGAGCCCCACGTTGGGCTCCCTGCTCAGTGGGGAGCCTGCTTCTCCCTCCCCCTCTGCAGCTCCCCCTGCTTGTGCTCTCTCTCTCTCTCACTCTCTCTCTCTCAAATAAATAAAGAAAATCTTACAAAAAAAGAAAGTGCTGTGAACATTCACATACAGGTTTTTGTGTGAACATGAGTTTTCATTTCTCTGTGTTAAATATCCAGGAGTGCAATCGCTGGGTCATATGGTAATTGCATGTTTAGTTTTGTAAGAAACTGCTAACCTATTTTCCAGAGTGGTTGTTCCATTTTAGATCTCCATCAGCAATATTTGAGAGTTTCAGTTTCTCCATATCCTCATGAGCATCTGTCATTATCACTGTCTTTTTGCCATTCTAGAAGGTATGTAGTGATATCTCACTGTGGTCTTAAATTTTCAGTTTGCACTTCCCGAATGACTAGTGATATCGGACACCTTTTCATGTGCTCCTTTGCCATCCATATGTCTTCTTTGGTGAAGTATCTGTCCAGTTCTTTGGGGTTTTGATAATTCTTTGTATATTCTCTGTATGGGCCTTTGTTTAGTGTGTGGTTTGAAAAGATTTTCTCCCAGCTTGTAGCTTGTCTTTTCATCTTTTAAACAGAATATTTCACAGCACAAAAGTTTTTAATTTTGGTGGAGTCCAATTTATTAATTTTTTAATCTGGCATATTTTACTCTTGGTGTCATACCTGAGAACTCTTCGCTTATCCCTACTACCTGAAGATGCTCTCCTGTGTTATCTTCTGAAAGTTTTATATGTTACTTTTAAATGCAGGATTCATTCTGAACTTATTTTTGCATATGGTGTGAAGTGGAGGTGGAGGTGGCCTTCTTTCAGTTTTTAAAATCTAGAGCTGGGGTGGTATTTCAAATCAGTGGAGGAAATGTAAATTATTTAATAACTAGTACTGCCATTTGGAAAAAAATAAAGTTCTATTCTTATAACAAAATAAATCCCAGATGGCTCAAAGATTTAAAACATAAACAGGCATATAAAAAAAAAAGGTTTACCCACACTCATCATTAGAGAAATGCAAATTAAAACCACATTGAGATACCCCTTTTCCACCTATCAGACTGGCAGAAGTTAAGAAGATGGATGATGTCCAGCATTGGCGGAGGGTGTGGAGGAACAGGGGTTTCCATACCAAGCTGGAGGGAGACTAAATCAGCCTCGTATATTTGAATGACGACTTGTCAAAATTAAAACTGCACATATCTTTTGACACAGCTATTCCATGCTTAGAGACTTACCCTAGAAATATACAAATATACATTGTACTCCTTGGGAAAATATCCTCAATTTGGCCAGAGACTGTTGAAGTTGCAAAATAATGTTATAGAATAGAAATAGTTATAAGTTATCTATTTTTTACATTTGAGCATGTTCACATGCAGAATATATCTAAAAGGATATAAATATCTCACTAGAGCAGTTACCTGTGATCCGTGAGGTGGAGACAGCAGATCGGGAGGAGGACAGGGGAGTGGAACAGGGAGACATTTTCTTATGCTAATTTGTAACCTTAAAAAATTAAAAATGTAGAGCAGAAGCTGAGCTTGGGGGCTCACCTCTTCCACCAGCGGCACCTCAGATCTCAGATGTCCCTTCGGAATGGGGACACGGCTCACAGCACTTCTCCTCACCTCGCTTCACATGGCCTTCCTTTCATGCTTTGTATTTGGGATGTTTATGTGGATGGGTACTCTCCTTTATTAGACTATGAGCTCCCTGTGCAGGGACTTATGTCATCATATTTATACTGTCCCTAACAGCTGGCTTAGATCTTGACACACAGAAGGTGCTCAATAAGTGTTTGCTGGCTGGACGTCCAGCTTTAGGCACTGGGAGGCATCTCCCAAGCTGGCAGGATTATCCATAAAGGACCACAAGTTCCCAAGGCAAAACACAGTGTAGGGTCTTGCCCTTCCTCACCAAGTTTGGGTGACAACGAGCAAGGGCAATCAGGAAGACACAAAGGAGGTAGAATTCCAGAGAAAAATAGTGCCCCCTCCCCAGCTGTCCCCCTCCAAATCCCTGGAATTTAGGAATATGTTATACGGATAACAAAAGGGAGTTAAGGCTGCAGATGGAATTGAAGTTGCTAATCAGCTGACCTTGAGATGGCAAGGTTACTCTGGGTCCTCCAGGTGAACCCAGTGTCATCACAGAGTTCTTACAAGTTAAAGAAGGAGGGAAGAGTCAGAGTCAGAGAAGCGATGGGAAGTGAGAAAGACTCACCTGACCTTTGCTGACTTTGAAGCTGGAAGTGGGCGGGCCTGAGCCAAGGAATACAGGCAGCCTCTAGAATCTGGAAAAAGGTGAGAAGCAGATTCTCCCCTAGAGCATCTAGAAGAAAAACAGCTCTGCTGACACCTTGATTTTAGCCCAATTAGACCCATTCTGGACTTCCAATCTCTAGAAATGAACACAGAGGCATTTATAAAAGGATGCAGAAATGGAGAGAGGATTACCAGCTCTGCTTTGATATGAACTTCGAGACATTTTTTTAAATTGAAACATACATTTAGACCCATAATCCCATCCCTTTATTAAAACTTTCTTCTTCCAGTCTTCAGCCATATTCTATTGTAGGAGAAGTATAATTTTGTACCCTATTTTTTCCTTCCAACCTTTTATTACAGCATAAGCATTCATATATTGCTCCTTTAGGATATTTTAGGAGGCTTCTAGATCCAAAGACGCTGGGAGTTTAGAATCACCTAATATAATTTTGTGGTGATCTCAGCAAGAAGCTGAGGTTTCCAGAGACGATGGAACTATAACTGGGAGTCCAGGCTCATGAACTCCTGGCTGAAACACTTCCATTGTGTCACCTCCCGTCCGTCTGCCCATCCCCACCTGCCTCCAAGGCTACCCTCCTGAGTGCAAAATGGGAGCAGAGTTTATAGAATTTTCCTGTATAAAATGTGTTTTAAAATGTACCCAGGATTTGTTTCAAGCGAGTATGGATGGTAACACACGCAGACTCAGAAATGACTGTCGTGAAGGAAGAAGTTGATACTCACAGATCCCTAGAAGCAGAGGCATGACACCCTGTGCAGGGCCATCTGGGGGAAGCATCAGGGTCCGGGGGCAGAAAGTGCAAGGGAAAAGTATGGACTTTAGCCTTTATGTGTTTTTTGTGGGGAAGAATGGAAAAGGCTTAGGATTGGATGGTTTCAATAATTTCAGCAGGTTCTGGGCTATGGGGGTGGTCTTGAATTATCTGGTACCTGGCCGTGGGGTGATTTGGGGGGAGGGGAATATTGGTTTGGTGGGTGACAATGGGAAAACAGGTGTTTGGGGGTATGGGCTCAGGATTGGTTGGTTTGCATTTCATGCTTGTGGGCAAGTTGTTTGCTGTTCCTAGGAATTAGCTAATCCTGAGAGGCTGTCCCTCCCAGGTCCGCAAGGCTCCAAGGTGTCCAACTATTATAAAATATAGAAAATAAAAAACATGATTAATACAAAATGCTGTGTTAGCATGCATCATTTTCACAGCATACATTTTTCTTTTAAAATATGTTTCAGGAAAAAAAATAAAAATTAAAAAACAATAAAAAAATTATGTTTCAGGGGTCCCTGGGTGGCTCAGTCAGTTAAACATCTGCCTTCGGCTCAGGTCATGATCTCGGGGTCCTGGGATCGAGCCCCGCGTCGGGCTCCCTGCTCAGCGGGAAGTTTGCTTCTCTCTCTCCCTCGGCCCCTCACCCCTGCTCATACGCTCTCTCTCTCCTCTCAGATAAATAAATAAAATCTTAAATATATGTTTCAAGACCTTCTGAGAGTAGCCATACCAAGTTCATGCTTTATCTCAATACATCATGATGTGCGTCTTCCATGAAGGAACTTCATGTTGGCTTTGCTAATTCTGAAAGACAAGAAGATAAAGAAAGAAAAAAAGGAATGGACCATA